ACTGGAGGTCAGTGCCCCCCAGCCGGAAGGAGCTCCCAGGCCCCCCGGTCCCTGCTCCACCCACTGGACCCTAAAGCCAGGACTCAAATCCAGGACAACCCCCCTGCACCCCCTTGGTGCCCAGAGCCCACCCATGCCCCAACCAGAGCCAGGTCCTGGCCCGCTCTGGGGGGGACCGCAGCCCCCAAGCCCCCCAGCCACCCTGACCGGGGGAACAACAAGGGAAGCCAAGTAATGTAAGTCACAGCCCCCCCCCGGCTGGCAGCGCCGCGGCCCTGAGTCAACAGTACGGGCGCGGGTGAGGGGCTGATTAATAATGAATTAGAACAAATTGGCGGCCGCTCCTGCTAATCCATGTAAATAAGGGCCAGGAGGCAGCAGCCAGGTCTGGGCAAACACACGGCCACCGGAGATGGGGGACCGTGCTGGCATGGGGGGGATCTGCACAGACCCCCATGAAACACACTGGCATAACAAGTGGAGGTGGGAAGTGGGGTGGCACCTGCCCCAGCCTTGCCAGGGGGCAAATGCCTCCCCAGGATCAGCCTTGCATTGCAGGATAGGGCCTATCTGAGCCCCACCCCCACTGCTTGGGCTGGCTCCTAGGCCAGGATCGGGGCCTGGGATGTGGGGGTCACCACCGTTGAGGACAGGGTCAGGGCAGAGGAGACCCCCTGGGGCCATGGCAGGGCCAGGCTGTCCAGCGGTCCACCCCCTCTGACCCCATGCCCGTCTATCCATCCCCGGACCCTGTCTCTGTCCATTCACCCCCAGACCCCATGCCCGTCCATCGGTCCTCGTGCCCCTGGGTAGCACCTGTGTTGGGGGCGGCTGGATGCTCCAAACATTGGGAGCTGTGGGTCTGTGGGGGGAGCAGGGAGCCCGAATGTCTGGGCTCCACTCCCTGGTTGCCCTCGGGGGGCGGTCTGCAGACACCCTCCCCTCACCCCCCGCTGGGAACGCCCCTGCCCTTTGCCCTGTGCATTCAGTGCTGCTGCCCCCCCCATCAGCGCCACCTCCCCAGGCAAGGGGCAAAGTCCCTGAGCTGGGAGCTGGCGGTGAGGCCGGGAGGGTGCCGGTGTGCAGGGGGGCACAGGTCAGTGGGGCCTGGGGAGGACCCTGGTGGGGTCTGAGGGTGGCCACCACGCCCCATGGCCAAGCGGGTCCTGGTGGCCCTGGCCCTGTGGGCGCTGGGAGGCCCAGTGGGGCTGCACCACCTCTACCTAGGCCGGGACAACCATGCGCTGTTGTGGCTGCTCACGCTGGGTGGCTTCGGTGTGGGCTGGCTGGCCGAGCCCTGGTGCCTGCCCGGCTGGGTGGCACAGGCCAATGGGGCCCCGGAGCCGCAGCCTGGCCGCCCGCCCACCCTGAGCCCCGTACGCTTCCTGGGCCAGGTGGCCGTGGGCGCCTACTTCGGGCTGGTGGCGCAGCTGGGCCTGGGCTCCCTGCCCGGCTTTGAGCTTGTGGTCCTGCCGCTGGCCGTGGCACTGGGCGTGCACCTGGTGTCCAGTGTGGGCCCGCAGACAGCTGACCTCGGCCACACACTGACAGCCGCCTTCCTGACTGCCCCCATCTTCTCCCGCCGCTCCGTGGC